ACCAAAGCCGTGGAGTGCCTGCTTAATTGTGCTTCCATCACATTAGTGGCTTGGTTTGCTGAGCGGGGTGTGCGTTTAGGCTCCAGAGTTTCAGCCTGAGCTCCTTCCTCACAGCTCTAGTTTACTTGGAAGCGTTCTGCTGGTCCTGTTTTTGCTCATTGTTTGTTTTTAAGGTATTACTTTGTGCTTTAAGAAAACATAAATCATGAACTTGAAAAAAATTGTCGCACTTTTTGCCAGTGTTGCGGATCAGTTAGGCCCTGTAGGGCTTTCAGCTTTTAACAGCAACCATCCCTAACTGAAACAAGCTCTTAAACATCTGAAATCTACGTTCTCACACAGCTAACGATTACCGCTGTAGGTCTATACTCAGGAATAGAAAACTTAAGTTCTCCCCACCATATGGATCTTAACATTTCTCTTTTGAAAACAAATAGACTTTGTGCTTTCAAGTGCATTTTGTATCTCCTTAGTATATGTACCTATATTTAAGTAGAGTACTTTCAGTGTAGGGCCAATTTTAATACATTTTGATAAGGATGGTGGTCTTAATTTTCTCTTTCTAATTAGTGTGCTGCTTAGTTTGTATGAAAGAGACTGAGCTCAGTCTAAGAAGCAGCTTCTTAAGCTGTCATATAAAGTTGGGCCACATTGACATACTCGTCAGTGAACACTTGGAGATACTGGATGCAATAATGTGTTTTACGAAGCCAGCTTAAAAGCGCAGTTTAGACATGTCTTTCAGAGTCACCCATACATTGCACATTTAGATCTGCTCGAACACAGCTTAAACACTGTTGTAGGCCTTCGATCTTTTACTCTTTATAAGATATGTCTTCTCTGTTGTTTTTTTTTTTCATACAGTTCATATACTCTCCAGTGTTCCTATGACTGTATGTAACTGAAAAAATAAAGTCACAGTTGCAACAAGCAAGATCTCAGAGGTAGTGGTTATTTTGTGCACTGCTGGCTGGAGCTGTGTTTTTTTGCAATTACCAGAAAATGAGTCCGGTTTTCTTTATATCATTGCATGTCAAAAGCGCTAATATGAAAGTCCACAGAAAGTCCAAGAATGCTGAGAAGAACCTTTTAACCCTAAGGATCATTAGAGATGTAGTTCTTCCCCTGCTGAGATCAGAAATCTGAAGTAATGAAAACATTTTTCTCTTGGCACTCGGGTTCATAAAGACAAACACAGAACTCCCAGAGCGCTTCCAAGAAGAACTCACTCCTGCCACCCAGTGGAGGACCTCGCTCTAGAGAAAACATCTCCATATCACAGGGCTCAGTTTGAAGAGCCATCCTACATTTTCTTGTATTTAGATTTTGTCCGAGATCCGCTTAGGTTCCAAAAACAGTCAAAACCCATTTTTACTTGACCATTTTCCAACCTCTCTTTGTCCCTTAGAATTAAACAGGCTGATTTGTGACTGTGCCTTTAAGAGTGATATATGCAAATGAGCTCTGTTCTTATTGGCTGCCCTTTATTGCACCTCATTCAACAATCAACTGACACTTCTTGTTTCTTCATTGTGAATGAGCAGGCTAAACTGCTGTAGGCCAGGTTGGTGGATTTATGTAAATGTTTTGTTTTCATGCAATGACAAAAGCAAATTTTAACGCAGGCTGATTTGCAGCTTAATTTGCATATTTGGGCTTAATGAACTAGAATGGCACATTCTGATACTTAAGTAATGTTTACATATTATACCAAACTCTTATACTGAAAACAACAATTCTGTTTTCTGTGATACTGGTTTAAAGGAAAAGTCCAGCGTTTTTTCTAAAAGGTTTTTCCAGCTTTCACAGTGTTTTAAAATGATGTTGGTACTTTTTTAGTTTTTGTCTAAAAGTAAGATATGATACCAAAACACCCTCACATAAGCCTAAAATGATTTTGTACAACTGCAAGCCAAAATCCATTTTAACATGTTCACTGATACATCTTCAGCATAAAATCATTCTGCTTTATACCTTTTGTGGTAAAGTGGAATGGCAGTGTCTGATGTACTGCTGTGTAGGAGGAATCAAATTCTCAATCAAACTTGCATTAATAACAGTAATAGATTTATATTTATTTACATAAAAGTAGTGAGTGTGTGTGTGAATGTGTATGTCTGTCTGCGCTGCGATGGACTGGCCAGCTGTCCAGGGTGTATCCTGCCTTCCGCCCAATGACAGCTGGGATAGGCTCCAGCACCTCACCGTGACCCAGAAGGATAAGCGGTTTAGATGATGTGTGTGTGTACATAAAAGTTCATCATAATTGTTAATAATAACATTATACATTACATTAAATTTACATCTAAAATTGAAATCAATTAATTTATGAAAAGAAAAAATAGATCACAAATACAATAAATAAAATTATTAATATTTTTTAAAAATATAAATTTAAAATGATGTCCTTTTCCTGTCCAGCCCTTCAGTTGTGATACTGTGATAACTGCCATGGTAAGACATGCTGAGACAATCGAGATTTTAACATAATTAAAGTGATCTCTTTTGCCTTGCGTGCTGACCTCAGTAGTGTAACGCTTTGTCTACAGTGTTACAGAGTTCAGATCAGCGAGTGCACTGGGCTACAGTGACAGTCTGCGGGTTGAAGCTGTTGTTGAAGCGAGCTCTTGTGCATGCGTGAGGGTGTTAGACGGGTTAGAGTGTGGGTATGGCTGAAAGATGTTTGAAACGGTGCAGTCATGCAAGCTTTCCAGCCAGTGTCCAGTAGTCGACCTGACCCCCCCTTTTGTGGGAGCTTTTGTGAATGTAGGGACAAAAATGTTCACACGGAGGACAGTGTAGAGGCCTTGTCCAAACAGGGGCTTTTTCCGCAGTCACCACCTAACCCCATGCCCCCACCTACAGCAGCCCTGTTCAGGATGGCCCACAGCTCACTTGTGCAGGCATCACCCAGCAGGCCATATCAGTTTGCACCCAGTCATTCAACACAGACACAAGGTGTCACCACTGACCTAATAGCTGCGTAACAGTAAGCATCCTACATTACAACACAAATGAAAGATTTAAGAAATATATCATAACATAAACCCATAAAACAACAGAACTTTTAACTGAACTATGGCTAAGTGAGATGGGGGAAGTGCTTCAGGCAGATGGACTGAACTCGTGGGCACATGTTGACCAGACTCTATTCATGCATACATCTCCAGCCCAGACTGTTTGGTCTGCCTATAAGAAATGTGCAGGGAGGGGGTTGGAGGGTAGGCAGTTTAAGGCCAGGTCACGTAATTGGAGCTGGCATGTGTTTAGCACAGCAAGGGGTTCGACTGAATGGACCAAAATGCCTCTCATTTTTTGATATACATTGTTAAAACTGCTTTTGTAACTATGTCCGTCCTAGTTCCCCTACACTAACTCCAAGGCTGTTTCTTGCTTATTATAAAGAGATAAGCAGTTTTTTAGTGCCCCATAAAGGGCCCAGTGAGTAGTGAAGACAGTTTCCAAAAACTCAACAAAGTTTGAATGATGCACACATTAGAATTTGTATTTATGCCATTTAAATTTATTTAGTTTAATATAAGGGCCCTATATATAGCCTAGTTATTTACTGTTTTATGATGCTAACCTTAACATTTATTAAACTTTTGTCCAGGTCAAAATCAATGAAATATAAATTCTGTTATTCTTACATGCAAAATAATATGGCTCGTATGGATGGGAGGCCTACAGTAGATTGCTTCTTAGGTTCTCCAAATATTCAGAAACAGCCCTGGACAGATAGTTCATATCTCTGCTGAGGGATTCACAGACACACACTCTCACACACTGTATCTCTTTGTTCACCCCTCTTCCTCTCTCTCCATGACCCAATGCCATTTTACATCAAAGGTGCTGTATGTATGAGGCTGTGGGAGATTGCCTGTCTCCCTCTCTGAAAGCTCCCCTCTCAGCCTTGGAGCTATTCTTTCTCTAATCTCTCAGCCTGTGGGTCAGTCTGGGACAGGCCTCACTCCCAGCCTGGGATTACAGGCCCAGATTCCTCACTTTTTCCCTTCGCCCTGAGCGTGCAACCCTCATTGTTACAGGCTCAGCCCAGACACTGTGCTGTTAGTTTAGACCTGACAAAGGATCAGCTGGTTCAACACAGTCATCCACAGAACCACTTCTCCAGGTCCAGCGCTTCCACCAATCTTTTCCTGTTTTTGCTGGTAGAATGCTGAGACAGAGGTTTCCTGCCCAAAGAATAAACAGGGTGTATGCAAAGGAATCATTCTCAGTAACTGTAAAGAGAAACCCCCCCATACTGACCACCAGCTACACCTCTCGAGCAGTGTGATAACCAAGTGTAACCCAATAGTTCAAAACTCTTTTAATATCTTTCAGATTTTAAACACAGCTAACAAACATTTAAGACAGCTCCTTTGAACATGTCTCCCCATAGTGGTGAAAAAGCATACAGGCCATCAGACATTTCCATTTTCCATCAGTGGTTGGCCTTACTTTTGCTACAAAATGAAGTCCATAGATGTTCCTTTGAGGATACGTGTAATATTACTCAACAATGCTGTTGAAGAAAAATCTGTAATACATATTTTTCTGCTCTAATGCTGAGCTTAAGGATCTAAATGACAACGCAATATGCAGTTACACACAAAGTTTTTCTATTAATTCTAATTTGTGATATTAATATCATGATAGTAGACAAAAACAGCACTTCGACTGTACTACACTTGTACATACTGTGCTTTTGTGCTGACACTAAAAGGTTTCCATTTCTTCCTCTAAATTGTAATATTTATGATCATAGAGTACTTGTAGCTCATATGTTGGTAAATCTTTAATTTTTGCTTTCAATTCTCATGTGCTTCCACTGAAGCCTCTGCCTGTAGATGCCCCAAACCGGACAAAACATATTCAATGCATGTTTTATTCACATAATTGTGCAAATCGCCAAAAACAAAAACACTGGCACGTCAGTCCAAAGCAAAGCCACTCAGCCATCCGAGGTACGGCGGCCGGAGAGCGCCATAAAGCTCACGTGATTCCGCGTTTCGTCGTGTGTCGGAGTGAAGGGGAGCTGGACGAAGTCGAGGTTGAGCAGACTCGTTCTGGATTTCAGCTCCGTTTAAATGGACTGCAGGCGGGCTTCAGCTCTGCGGCGGGACACTCGCGTGGGGGTATTTTTATGGCATTTGAAGTCATTTTTTAAACCGCCCCAGCTAGCTAGCTAGCTTTCAGCAGGACAACATGGCGTTAAGACAGAGAAATGAAGGTGTTGTTGGCTCTATTAATAAATGAATTCTTTTTATCAGTGGAATAACTAACCTAACTAAACCTTGGTCTTTAGCTGTGCTCCGCTGCAGACTTTCCGATGAAACACCAGCTAGACAAAAGTCAGCGCCACGAAGCTGAAGCCGCTTCTTGTTCCAATTCTCCTGTTCCACCTTAAATGGTGCAGCAGTTACTACTGCAGTATTTAAGGTGGGACGGGAAAATTCGAACTAGGAGCTGGCGAATAAGAAGCTGACTTCAGCCTCGTCATCAGCGCCCACCTTTCGTTAACATGAACTCACCCACATCACATTTACTTCACCAGCAGCTAGCTAAGTTAGCTAACGTATTGACACGTTCAGTAACAGCTGATGGGTCTGCCTTACTTTCCCATGTAACGTAACCGTCCAGCAGAATCTACATAATGGATAATTAACTACAGCAGTTTGCTGGAAGGGCTCATAAGATGCACCCCCTTCTTAATAGCTCGGTTGCCTGTATAATGTCGCCCATAATCGGTAATTAATTAATGTTAACTCACAAACATTTCGATACAACATAGTTCATCTCTCAAAAACCTAAGAATGAATATAGTCTTGTCTTCTCTGCACACCTAGTTAATTCAACTTAACTTTTCTTTGGTACTGTAATCCTATCCAGCATGCAGTTTTGTGTACAAGTACTAACATTTCTAATTCTTCTTTGATTTAGGCTGGGGGTTTATGTCTGATATATACATAAAATATGGAGGAGCAAGAGAGAATTGTGGGAAAAGCCTGTGAATTTCAGCAAGCTGACTTCAGTGCTGCAGAGAACAGCAATGTGCAAAAAAGCACAAAACCCTCTGAGAGTGTAACGGAATTGGTGAGGCCAGTCGATCAGTACTATCATGATATCATTCAGTATTTTAAAGACAAGTGCAAAGACACTATTTAGACAAAAGTATTGGGACACACCTCCAAATGAATGAGTTCAGGTTTTTCAGCCACACTCATTGCTAACAGGTGGATCAGATTAAGCACATAGCCTTGGAGTCTAGATAGACAAACACTGGCAGTGGAATGGGTCATACTGATGAGCATAGTGACTTTAAACATGGCACTGTTATAGGATGCCAGCTCTGTCACAAGACAGTTTGTGAAATTTCTGTGCAGCTAGATCTGTCTTGTTCAACGGTAAGTGCTATTAATGTGAAACGGAAGCACCTAGGAGCAGCAACAGCTTAGCCACAAAGCGGTAGACCATGCAAACACAGAGTGGGGCTGGCAAGTGCTAAAGCGCCCTGTGCCTATTCTCAGTAGAACCACTCACTAAAGAGTTCAAAATTGCCTCTGGAAGCAGCATCAGCAAAAGAACTGCGTGTTAGTAGCTTCACAAAATGGCTTTCCAATTTGGCCAAGCAGCTTTACACAAGCCTAGGATCAAAATATACAATGGCAAACAAAGTGGGGGAGTGGTGTAAAGCACGCTGCCACTGGACTCTGGAGCAGTGGAAACATATGTTGGAGTGATGAATCACGCCTTTCTATCTGGCAGTCTGATTGACAAGTATGGGTTTGGCAAATGCTAGGAGAATGTGACCTGCTTGACTGCACTGTGCCAACTGTAAAGTTTGATGGAGGAGGGATAATGATATGGGGTTGTTTTTCAGGGGTTGTTCTAGCCCCCTTAGTTCCAGTGAAGGGAAATCTTAATGCTTCAGCAGACCAAGACATTTTGGACAACTGTACGCTTCCAACTTTGTGGGAACAGTTTGGGGAATGTCCTTTTCTGTTCTAGCATGACTGAGCCCCAGTGCACAAAGCAAGGTCCATAAAGGCATGGCTGGGTGAGTTTGGTGTGGAAGAACCTGACTGTACAGAGATTGCGAGCCAGGCCCTCTTATTCAACATCAGTGTCTGACCTCACAAATGCTCTTCTAGATGAATGGGCAAAATTTCCCACAGACACACTACAAAATCTTGTAGAAAGCTCCCCGGAAGTGTGGACGCTGTTATATCTGCAAAAGGGGGACCAACTCCGTATTTTGGCCTGTGGATTTAGAATGGGATGACATAAAAGCTCCTGAATAATGTGTTGGTGTCTCAGTACTTTTGTTCATATAGTGTATTTTTTTGCAAAATATACAGCCCAGCTAGGTATACCAGCTGTTATGTCTCTACAGGCTTTGACTAAAGTAAATTGTTAGTGTCACATGATTTTACAGTAATTGGAGCCCTGAAGGAATTGCCAGGTAGCAGCAGCAGCTGAGTGTGTCTGTGTTCAGTCATTTTGTGTTGTGTTACAGGAGCTGCGTAAAAGCACAGATACACGCCTTAAAGAGGAGACATCCATAATTCCAGTCCCAGAGAGTCCTGCAGCCTTTCAGAATTCATCTGCAGGTCCACTCGAAACTAGCAGTGTTGTCATTTTTGATCCAAATGGACAGCCACTTCAGTGTGAACGTATGGTGAGAACATAACACAAAAATGTTTGAGAGGTTTTACAGAGGTGAGAAGAGTAGTCTAAAACCATGCTGTAGTAAAGATATTGATACTTTATTTAAAGAATTATTTAAGAATTCGTTACCAAGTAACTGTAGATTATCATCAGCATCTTTTTCTTAATTTAGTTATGTTGTCCTCAGGTGATTGGGCAGTCACAGAATGGGCAGTTGTATGTTATTCCATCCAGCCATCTTGGAGCAACACGACTGTTGCTGCCCAATGGTCAAGTGTTAAATACAGCGGACTCGAGAGGTAAACCGATGAGTGTTGAAGTGTTAATAATATTGATTTGATCAGTTTGATTGCTGCAGTATCACATGCTGTGCTGTTTGCTGTGTGCCTCTGAGGACATATTTTAAAGCTTAAATATAAAATGACATATTTCTGTGGAATTGTGCTCTATTATAGGAACTTGTATAGCTAAACCCAGTCAAGAAGACAAGCCAAGCCCTGCTGTAACTACTGGTGACAGTAGCCCTAGCACTTTAACCACAGTAGCACCTCCAAGCTTCACAGCCATCAAGACTCAGACAATAAGGTAGGCTTGGTCTTGACCTAATGTTCTCAGCTGTGTTGCAGTGCTGCCTAGCCCCTAAACATGTCCTGCACCTTTACGAAACACTTGTGCCTATGTTTTTTTAGGTAAAAAGAAGCAAAAATAGAAGTTTAAACTTCAAGAGAAAGAATGCTACTATATAAAAAATACATTTTGTGTCTGGGAATGTAATAATTTTTTTTTCCTGAATAAACAACCAAAATACAGGACAGTCAAGAAACTTGGATGGGTGGCAGCCCTAATCCTAAGCATCTAACTGAAACTCTACACCAGTATTCATGCAATTAAATCAAGTTTCTCTACTTTTGACATTCTTATGATAGGAGACAAAAAATATCTCTATTTATTGTGTTTGTTCTTGTGCTGGCACTAAAAGGACTTCCTTGTGTCTTCTAATGTATAATATTTACTTGTGATCAGTTCTCCAGATGTTTTTGTGCCTCCAGTGAAGCCTCTGCCAGCAGGTGCACCAAATTGGGCAAAGAGACTTCGCAGCTGTGAGGTACATCAGAACAAAAAGGGTTCTCAGGAAAAAATTAAAACTATATGCTGGATTTGCCTTTTTACATACTTAAGCTGTTAGTAGTTCACATGAGATTGTGTGTTACAAGTGCTTACTGTGTAAATACATTGATTAATGCTGTAAGTGCTTGATTTCAAAATTTGTTTTGTGCGGAGCAGAAGATTGGTGACTCGTACCGCGGTTACTGTAACACAGAGGCGGAGCTGGAAGCTGTCTTGCTTCTGCATAAGCAGCACACTCACTCCGTGTTTGGCACCCGTCAGTCACCCTCGCCAGCCAAGCCTGCCACTCGCCTTATGTGGAAGTCTCAGTATGTGCCCTATGATGGCATTCCCTTTGTAAATGCAGGTGAGTGCATCGCTAATTTTGAACATTCAGTTAATGACCTTTTTGCATATATATTAATAAACATTTTGCATACACACACACACACACACACACACATATATATATATATATATATATGTTTGTATGTGTGTGTTTTCTTAGTCATTGTATAACCACTAAGCACAAAAAGTGATCTTATATTGTGTCTTTTTTTAAACATCTTTTTTTTTTGTAGGAAGTAGAGCTATTGTGATGGAGTGTCAATTTGGACCACGGAGAAAAGGTGTCCAGCCCAAAAAAGGCACTGTGCAAGAAGCCAATCAAAATTCCTCTTACAAAGCTACCTGTCCTGCCAGGTACATAAAGTAAATTCAGTCAAATTGCTTTATTATTGTTATGTTTTTGATGTGGTGAATACATATACATACAGTGCAAGGTGCTTCATGCTAAGCTTTTCTTCCTGCAGAATATATATCAAGAAAGTACAAAAATTCCCTGAGTATAAGGTTCCAGTAGACCCCAAAGTGGACAAGAAGGTAGTACGGCAAGAGCAAGAGAAGGCCTTCTTCAACCTAAAGAAGAAACTGTGGGATACTGGGGGTGTCATACGGTATAAGGATAATTTCTAAATCACACACCACTGTTAACATGTACTGTGTTATTGCATTCCACACTCACAATAGTTATTTCTCACTAAACAGGTATTATATTCAGCTCCCTACTCAGAAAGCTCACCTCTATCATGATATAGACATAGCAGTCCTACCGCCACCCCCTGAGCAGCCTGGCTTTCCAGAGGAGGACAATGAGGATGAGGAAGATGAGGAAGCGCAGAGAGAAGTAGAGGAAGATGGGGAAGAGGAGGATGTCTGTCCGTCTCGACTGCACCCTCTAGTGGCTGAGAAGATCCGTGAGCTGGTGGCGCAGGGGTGCAACCAGGTCTATGCTATCCGAAAACATCTCAGGTATGACTGGAAACACCATTCAGTGGCCAGGACTGAATGTTAGAGGCCGGTTAAAGCACTTGTGTCATACTTTCATCTTGGAAGGAGACAGAACACTTGCTGAACTCAGTTGGCAGTTTCTTAGTTGCACCTATTGTGTAGTGTGTTGGCCCACTTCTGCATTCAGTTCACCTGGGAAAGGATTTTATAAGATGCTAAATGTGTTACCATGCAGAAATAAGTAGAATTGCACAGTTGGTACAAAGTGGAGGGCTGCAATCTTGGCACTAACAGCCCTTTCCACCTCCTTTCAAAGATGGCCGATATAGTTGAGATCCAGGTATTACTTCGGGCCACTTGAAACCATCCAGTGACAAAATGTGCCCTATGACATGGTGGATTTTCATGCTTGAAGTGTCTACCTAAGTGTAGATGAACTGTAGTCTTGAAGGGATAAACTTGGTCAGCAACAATGTTCAGATATATAATGCTGTTCAAGTGTTTATTAGCTATTTATTAGGTATCGTGGCCCTAATGCCAGGACATTCATCGCACTGTCATCAGCCTGTACTGTTCTTACCAAAAAGAATGGCTCTGTGGAACCCTGCAGCTTGTTTTATGGAAAACAGAAAAATCTGTTTTCCACTTGTCTTCAATATTCCTGTCCCGTCTACGGACATACTTTCTTATGAGATGGGGTTGGCCATATGACAATATTTATCATTATCGTGATACATTGCATCACATTACGTCACTATATGCTTATCAACTGCTTTTTTTATTATTACAGAGTGCATCCCTAATAATTAGACCTGTTTGGATTTTTTTGAGTGCAGTATATGAAATATCATAAGTGTCTCTACTTATCAAACCTAAATATTTTAATTCATATTGTATATTGGGGAAATGCCTAAAAATGTTGATATATTTTTGCCATATCACTTGCCCCTATTTTAAGGTCACTTGCTTTGGCCATTCTAGTGCTCAAAATGCTTCTGATCTGTACCATGCCCCACAGTCACATGACATGATTTGTTGCAGTTTGCATTAAGGCAGATGTTGTACCTAATATGCTGTGTAGCTCAAGAAAGCCACTAAACTCTGGCCCTACAAGATTAGAATTTGACATCTACCTGTTTTACAGCCACTAGCAATACATTTTTTTCTTGCACTACATCAGGAGGTTTGTAGAACGTGAGATGTTCAAGTCAGACGCAGTACCAGAGAGACACAACCTGTGTTACTTTCCCACTGTAAATGACATCAAGAACCACATGCACGAGGCTCAGAAGAGCTTGCAGCTGCCAGAGGGAACACTGGCCTCCCCGGGATCAGAGGTGTGGACTTTACATACTTTCTGCAATGCTTATGAATGACTAGTCCAGGAAAGGCATTGAAGGATTTTTATAAAGGCTAATAATGATTTCTCTTGTCAATCTCTTCCATACAGTGGAAGGCAGAGAATGAGAACCTCTTTACAGAGACTGTGACCCTGACACTGACCCCTGCCCCTGTTAATGGTAAATGATCAAATAAGTCTGTGTCTCTTAATTACAGATGCTTCATGAAGTCATTAGAATCTGATTGGTTCTAGGCAGCAGGAAAACATTTGAATAATACTAGATTAATATGTTTATTAAAGGGGAATTATTCCAGCTTTGCATTATTAATTGCAAATTATTAAGATTTAAACAACATAATTCAGAGTGGTCTAATCTGAAGTGATTAATTTCAGAGAAACATACTGTATTTCTTTACAGTGGTGGTGACAGAAACCAGGGATTGCTGTGTCTACAACACAAATATAGCCATCCAAACTATCCAAAACCACCAGTGAACCTTCTGAAACTTTTGAAAACTCTGAAAGTTTTATATGTAATGTTGATAATGGTAAAACGGTGATAAATTCATAAAAAAATTAAATTAAAAAGCAAGTTTCTCTTTGCAGTGAATGTGTTAGAAAATATGTTTTGGGCAAAAACATTGTAATAAAACCATCATAAAACAGTGTCTCGGACATCATGGAGTGTATTCGTTACCATTTCATGTAATATCTTTCTGTGAGGGAGCTTTTTTATAGGTATTAAACTCTTCGGTAGGGTATGTTTCTCTAGAACAGAGCATTTCACTCCAGACCACTCTGAATGACTTTGTTTACATTTTAGCCATTTAATTATGCAGAAATCATGAAAAATTGGCGAAATTCTCCCTTAATGTCCATCCATCAATTGTTGCTATACATATGCCGTTTAACTACATTAAAAAGTTAAGGGAAGCGTCATTGGTTACCTTTCTCAGTGAACTCACAGGAGGAAGGAGTTTTAGAAGGCGGTGACACTCTTTCTCCTGAAGCTGTTCAGCTCTTTAGCTCTCTCACCTCCGTCCAGCCCAAGATCTTTGCACAGCTGCAGGTAAATGCTTTCTGACTGTACAAATACTGACTGTACACCCGGGATTTCACACATATTCACAGCTGCAGCGTTAGTGTTCATCTGTAGTTTGTGCATATTCTCTGTAATGCTTACAGGAGCAACAGACATTGCCTTTGCTAAACATAGTCAGTAAGTAGCTTCATTAGTCTTGATTTCAGATATTTATTGGAGTTAGATCTTAGAGAGGAAAAAATGTAATAGAGTCTGATAAACTGGAAAACATTTGAGTAATATACTGTTAGGCTCTTCCCTTAACTTCAGTTTATACCTCTGCCGTTATGATTGACTTCTGCAGAATATTAGTTCAATACCCTTGTTGTATTTAATTAGATGTTCTCATTGAGAAATATGTTATATCATTGTAGCTGATATGTGTTTATTCCTCTTTAGGGTGTCCAGCTGCAACCAGCCATGTGTCCAGCAGAGGGCTCTTTTGGGCAGCAGCCTGTTTCAGAAGCAGAGCCCATGGACTCCTCAAACCCCTTAAACCCACACACTCTGTTCCTGAGCCCTTCATCCTTCCTGCAGTCTAGCTCCTCTGCTGGAGAGGCTACAGCTGTTCCTGGGCCTGGTGCTTTGCTTGAAATGGGTCAGCTGGTTAACATCTCCTCCTTGGAGACCGGGCGTACTGAGGGGGACGTCACACAGATACTACTGGAAGACGGACAGACAATTCCAGTGCAGATAGTGGACCCATCTAGCATAGGTGAGACCTGGAGCGTGTACTGCTACAATACTGCTGAGGCCTAGTCATATTTTATTTCTATAAGGGTTTTTTTTCAAGAATACACACAATAAATACAATATATAGTGATAACATTTATAATGCACTGAAGATGTGAATCTTGATGTCACCACAACGTAAACATTACTTCAGAACATTATTTTGTTAACCTTAAAATACTGTTATGTCTTGTTCAGCGCTAAGTGCTTCACTGGAACGGACGCTGGTGGAAGAGGGCAGGGAGGTGAAACCTACAGATATTTCAACAGAGCAATCCAGAGACCAAGGCTAGGCCGGCCACAAGACCAGTGAAGACTCGGATCTTGCTGTTTTTTTGCAATGAAACTGATCAAGGAGGAGGACTGAATAACTGCACTGTATTACTGACGGGACATGGCAACCTATGCAATGTTTCCAGTTTTTTTTTTTTTCTCATTTGAATACTGTATTAATTTATTAAGTTTGAGTTTGTTGAAAACCAAATGTGTATTAAATGCAGAAATGAATAACTAAGACGTAAGTGATGTCCTTCATTTCTTTGCTTTTTGTCTCTCTCAGATGACTCTGAAGAAGCTCTACAGATTTAGCTGTGAGCCCCAAATCTGTAGAGCTCCCAAATCAGTCTGTGACTACTGATGAACTATGTTGTTTATTTGTTCAAGCACTATATATTTAATGTATTTGTTGGCATTTTCTGCTTGTTTTTGGTTGTGTCTCATGTTTGATAAATTGCTGTAAATTTTGTAAATTGCTGTAAATGAAGTACTTGTGTTCTGCAAGCTAAAGCTGATTACGCAATCAGTAAACCAGTTATTATAATCAGTTGCAGTGCTTTGTTTCCATTTTGCTTATTTGATTTGTAAAATCAAAATTAGATCACATGCTGTACTTGTGCCTTCTCTGCCAAGGTTGAATTTTATTTATAAGTCAATTTGAGTTCTTACGATTTGGAAATTGTGCTTTCAAATTGGAGTTTTGATATAAAAACAGTTAATCATTCAGCCCATTCAGAGCATATGTTTCCATGTGAATGGCATGTATTTGAAACATGCATTTCAAATATTCTTTACACATGTTAAGATGAGGATGAAATGACTGCCAGTGGAATGAGAGATTGTTCCACACAAGGTAAGACAGTTTTTCTGTAATATTAATGTAATAATGTACTTGTCCTTGCTTATTATGCTATTTCTTTTGCTACGGTGATCATGTGGATTCCTTGAGATTTCCTATCAGCAGAAAAATTTATGACCACAACTCAACTGCTAAAGAGGTAAGATGCTTTGTGTGTGCATGGAATTTTATTGATTTAAATAATTTGGATAAACTGATGTTTCATTATTTACTTCATCAATTATTTTTACCGCTTCTGTAAACAAAAGTGTTTACTAAGGAAATCCAGACTGGCTTTCCTTTTTTTGTGTTTTGTATGCTTTTTTTTTTGTTTTGAATGCTTATTTTCCCAAGAAAACAGCAGAAATTATCATTAGTATTAGTAAGTGTTTAAAAAACCCAGGCAGTGAAAACTACAGTTACCTGCTTTTAATATGATGATGTAATACTACATTTAATACTACAAGTTGTGTTGAAAATCACAGCACATCTTTCACTAGCTCCTCTGGAGGTTCTGCTAAGCCCAGTAACTTCAGCAGATTGAAGTAGGAGAAAACCCAGGGCCGAGAGATATCCTGTGTCTGCTCCAGACCCCCTGCTTCTACAAAAAGACTTCGGTGAAACCTGAGTTGGTGTTCCAGTGCTGCCCTTTGCCTGTGAGAGGGAAATATGCAGTATGTATATATTTTTAACATCTTTATCTTTAGACAGAGACTGTGAAGAGTTTCAGAACCAGACTGTAGTTAAAGGAGAACTGAAAATGTGAAGTACTTGGCAGTCAGTTGAGCTAGCAGTCTGGCTTCCTCTTCCATCTGCATTGCTGCTTCCTCCTCTGCTTTCCTCCTCTCCTCCGCAGCCTTCCTCCTCTCCTCTTCTTCCTCCTGCTTTTTACGCAAGTACTCCAGCCTCTCGCTCTCCTCCATCTCCTGCAGTTTCCTCCTCTCCAGCTCCCTCTGAGCCTCCTCCTCCTGCTGCCTGCGCTTTAACTCAGCTACACAAATTCATAGTTATGAAATTCTTATTTTCACTGTAGAGTATCGTGTATAAAAAACCCTACTGTTACACGTTCATGCATCTTCTATCTTGTGCTGGCACACATGCAGGTCTTTGAGAAGGTGATCTTTACACAGATAGACAGTAAAGCACACAGCAGCACTTCTGAAAGTGTGGCAGCTGTGATTTTGGCCACCAGAGATCGCTGCCACCCCAGTAATCTACATGTTACCAGTGATTATTTTGTCTGTACAGCCTGCATACCAAGTCTCGTAAACGTTTTTTGCACTGTATCTCTGCGCGTTACTTTTGTTCTATTCCTCTGGATGGTCTCTTGAATCTATTAAACTCAGCATGTCTTGGGTCTTTTGACTTTGATAATGGATTCTGGAGTATTGGGGGAAAAAGGTGCCATTATCAGCTCACTCCTTATTTTTGATACAGAGAGAGAGCTTATGTGATCTTGTGGATCAGGCTGCCACTGACTCTCTCTCTCAGTGCAATGCAAACCTCCAGTGTTGGAGAGTAAACTGGACGCATAAGATAAATTAATATTTAATAATGTGTATTTCAAAGGATTTGATACATTGCATCAATCTGTTCTGAATTGCTGCATAAGTTTAAAGTATCCTCACTTTTTCCTTAGGAGTACGCCACCAAAATCTGTGTTTTATTCACCCCCATTGTACATACGTACATTTTGGCCATCATCCAGTGCTGGCAGCGTGACAACAGCGGCTAACCCAAGTTTAGTTGTAAACACATTTGTGCATCTGGCCTTTATTTGCCTTCTTGCCCTAATCATGAACAGTTGAGAGCTGATTAAAGCAAATCATTTTTGTTGAAGGCTTGGTTTTCATGACACGTGTGGATCATTTGCGTGATGTTACTTTATATTGTACATTAGAAGGTGTGCTTGTGGGTTATGTCATGGCAGAGGCCTAACACGCTAAAAACATATCTAGGTCATTTATGAACTTGAATGTGAACCATCAAGGCGGAAAGATTGAATCTGAACAAAAAATCAGAATTGAGCCAATAGGATTGTAATGTGAACGTAGCCCTACTCTCAGCATTTGAATCAAGATATTCTCAGATTTGAATCCAGATATTCTCAGATTTCAGTCTCCAGTGTACAGAAAGCCGTACCTGCTCTTCTCTCCTCCTCTTCTTGCCTCTCTCTCTGAAGCCGCTCCAGAAGCCTCCTCTTTTCCTCCTGCCTCCTCCTCTCTCTCTCCATCTCTGCCTTCTCCCTTCTCTGTCTCTCCATTTCTTTCTGCTCCTGTCTCTGTCTCTCCTCTTCTTCTCCAAGTTTCCTTAACCTGTAAAGTACATTGTAAAATCGGAACATTGGTATCAAATTTTCTCCCCCACTTTGGTTATGTGTTTTTGCTGGGAGTCTTTAGTCTAGGCTGTGAGGGTACTTGGCCTGCTCTGCTCTCTGTCTCTGCTCCTCTTCCAGCTCCAGCCTCATTTTCTCTTCTCTCTCCTCTTTCTCCTGCTGCCTCCTCCACTCCTCTTCTTTCTCCTTCCTCTTCCTCTCCACCTCGAGTCTGCGGCGTTCAGCCTTCTCGGCCTGCACTGCAGCCTTACTGTCACTCAGGCTGATGGCCTCTTCGCTGTAGTTAGCCTGAGGAGATATAATCCATCTGTGTCTCATGGGCTGGGTTATACGCATAATGGATTCATCTTAACTGATTATAGTTGTTTGTGTAAGGTTTTTCAAACTGTTTTAAGTGGTAAATCTGTAGTTTAGTCAGTCAAATTTACAACTTCCCCCAAATGTTCTCAGGCGGCAAGATATGTTTGCTTTCAGAATTTTGCCTTTTAAGTCTTGCACTGCATTTATGAGGCTAACAAGTGATACAAGCTTATTTGTTAAAGGTTAGTATCATGAAATCAAAACTAGGCCATATAGCTACAAATGGTAATAGCAGCTGTTTCAAACATTTCATTTGTTTGCACTTTTGTCCATTTTTGTAGATAACATTGTTATACAGTGTCAGATACCACTGAAGCAGGTCTATTTGAGATTACTTAGTAACTTTGTGAGGCAACATGGTTTGTGATTATTTAACAACACCCTATCAGCCATCTGTGATACTACAGCAACCAAGGAACGACTTAGAATGCTGTAGCAACTATGAAGTAACACCCTACCAACCACCTGGAATATCTTGGTAACTGTCTAGCAAAACCTGAGCAATCACCTGGGCAACATGTAAATCAATAAGCGATACTCAAGACACCATCTGGAACACTGTAGCAACTGCTTAGCAACATCCTAACAACCACTTGGCGACATTCTACCACCCAAGATACCATAATAACGACATATAAACACCTTAGCAGCTACCTGGAATCCCATAGTAATTCTCTAGCAACCACCAGAGACACTATAGCAACTACATAGCAACACCTTAGGCTGTACAGTCACTGTTTTCTGCAGGAAGTGCACTTCTCTAGTTTGATCTGCACTTTTGTTCATTTGTATAGATAACAGTATATCAAACAGTGTTAGACAACACAGAAGCATGTCTATTTGATATTACTTGACAACTGTGTGGGGCAACATGATTTGTGATGATTTAGTCCAGCAATTAGTACATTGCTAATTGGTGAACATTACTTATTTGGTGCAATAGCCTCAACTTCAGCGCAAAACCAAATGGACGTCATCCTTACTGCTACAACATTCTAATAACAGTTGTGGTACCATATGATTATAAATGTGCTAAGATGTCTTGAGGAAACTGGATCACAATTGGTCATTGATACAGAGTGGACATGTTTGGTCAGAGAAGTGCAACCCACCTCCAGAAGAGCTGGGTTTTGTTTTTGGAGTATTATATTGTGATACTCTAGAGGGCAGCACAGAGCCTGAGAATAATTCAACAAAGACTCACATCAACACCTGACTCGGATTTGGTGGGGTTTGAAGTAGGATGGTGGGTTGGGGCTGCAGAGTGAGAAGGCAGCTGGGTGAGTGAGAGTGGTGCTGGACTACAGGCTTTAGCCTCTGCTGCTGTACTGGTTCTCCGATAGCCCTCTCTGGCTGTAGGGACTGCAGTAGAGCCATGTGTTCTGGAGGAGAGCTCATCAGAGCCATGCATTCTGAAGGAGAACCCGGCGGAGCTGTGTGCTCTGGAGGAAGCCGCATCAGAGCCATGCATTCTGAAGGAGAACTCAGTAGAGCTATGTGTTCTGGAGGAGACTGTGGCAGAGCTATGTGTCCTGGGGGAAGCGGCATCTGTATGGTCCTCTTGATATACAGAAACTAGATCAGTGTCCAGACTGTGTCCAGGAGCACTGCAGCAGTGGTCATGCATAGCTTCATTTTCCTTTTCCTCTGTTTTGAACGTTGCCCTCTCAGACATCTCTGGTTGATCTGCTTCCTTCGCAATCTGCTGTACTTCCTGTATCTGCCTTGGTTTACCTGAGACAGATGAAAAATGACTGGTTGGAATATTGGAATCGTGTTTACCACCACTCAGCACTTAGTGAGATCTCTAAAAATGTGGACCAACCACTATGCATGCAGCTTTTTTCCCATAGCCATAATCTTCTGACAAATATCCTACAAATAAGGAGCCTCCCATATAATTCTACTGTGATTGGCTGCACTTTGTACATTTTAGAAATAAAAAAAATTAGATGTAAACATTGCGAATGTTTCACATCACTCCCCAGTCCATAGAGTTCATATATGGAAAACAAACTGCAAAAACAGCATGTTTTGAATTCATTGTTTGTTTGTGTGTGTGTGTGTGTGTGTGTGTGTATGTATGTATAAATATATATATATATATATATATATATATATATATATATATATATATATATATATATATATATATATATATCAAATACTAGCATCATTAACAGTACATATTGTGTAACTTATAGCTATATTCGTAACCAACAACTTTTGCACAGTTTTTATCTAATTTGTATATTTTTGCTGTTTATTATGCATTATCTATTCCTTTAAATGAAATTTATGTATACACCTGCACCAAGAGAAACTCCTTGTACAACTTTGTACTTATAAATAAAAACAGAGCAGAGGAGTAATAGTAAAACGTACCAACAACGAATGCTGCTTGCCCTTTGGTTTTCTTTTTCACCTTGTTCACATTGTTTTGTGGCTTTGCAGACTCCTTTGGTTGACTTGTGGATGCATTTGGCTTCTTACCCTCTTCCGCTGTTTTCTTTTTCTTCTGCAGACATAACAAGAAGAGGCATGAAGACAGGCCCTGGCAATGAGAGGTTATTAATCACTGCCAGTACAGTAATCTGCAGTATGACTCACTAGTATTGGGCCAGGAGATGTGTCTGCAGTGTAAACGGCGTCTTCTGACTCTTCTGAGTCCATATTTGTTTGTACAGTCTTCTTCTGTGGATTCTTATTCTCTCTTCCTCCTCTGACATGCTGATCAACCTCTCCCTCCTTCTTTACTTTCCTTATTTGGGTACTTTCTGCCTCTTCTCCTCCACCTGCTTTCCTGAACTGGGACCTGCTGTCAAAATCGAGAAGAAAAGCCTATAAAACACTTAACTGGAGTCACATGATTGACGGTGATAAAGGTTCAGCAGGGTGTTAGGGCTGAAATACAGCATAGCGAGACAGAGGGAGGGAGTCAGTGGGAGAGATTTAGTGATAAAGCGCTATGATGGAGAGAGACGCTCTAATCTCTGCTTTCTCACAGCTCACAGGGGGCTGAGAGGGGCCGCGGCCGAAACTTGAGACACAGTCAAAGAGTGATGGAGAGTGAGGCGGATGCAGAGGCGAGACGGGCGAGAGAGGAATGCAAACAGTAATTAGACGAGATATTAATGAACCCCAAACCCTGCGGAGCCGGGCTGTTTGACCCGAGCCTGACCTCTGACCTTATGCTGCGACCTTGTGTGTGTGTGTGAGTGTGTGTACACCCAAAACAAAGCCACAGCACAGGCATGGGAGAAAGTTTTATTTGACTGTGAAGTAGAAGGTGAAAGAGAAATGTGACCAAATACAGAGAGAACTCTGAGGGATCTTGGAGAAATTCTGCTGTTGCTCTAGTATAAGTAGTATTTCGTCATCATATTTAAAATATAATGTGCAGCCAGGCTGCTGCTGTATTTGTATTTTTCTTGGGATGGTATATAAAGGAGAATTATTTGCCCCTCAGTTGTTTTTAAAGTGCTGAATATACAGAGAGAAAGGGCATTTGTGATATAAACAGTATTATGTGGTGTATTATTCCATACTTTAACAGCTTTACTTACATATTATCTTTGTTTGTGTTTGTCTGGCTTCCAGGCTTCGCTTTATGAATACGTTCCTCCACAGCTGTGGGGGTGGATAGAGTTGTTTTTTGAGGGCTGCTAGCAGACGTGGTTTTGGGCTTTGGTGACCCAGGTGTCGCACCACCCTCAGGCTGCAGACCATGTGTCCTTCCTCTTCTCTTTATCTCAACATCTTCCCCTAAAGGCAAAACCACATATCTTTTTGTCATATGCTAGAAAGCAGAGCCAGTATGTACAAAAAACCCTACTGACATACAATCAGGTTCCAGTAACTACACTTATTAGGATTTGGAATATTAAACATACCACACATCTTATTTTAATATATATGAAAGTGGCCTATTTGTAAGATCTCAGTGTTGCATTTTACACTTTGTTCAATCAAGTTAAACTTTAAAGACCAAAACTAAGAACTTCCTCAATGTTCTCAGTGGTCCAGCATGATTTGTACATGCTGAACAGTGGTACTGAGCGTATTACACCAACTATAATACAGTATGTCCATATGTTTGTAGACACCTGCTCTTCCAACATTTCTTCTGAGATCAAGGATAAACTAGAAGTTTGCAACCCCCCCATTGTTGCAGTAGAAGCTAGCTCTTCTAGGAATGTTGGAACTTTGCTTTGAGAATTTGATTGCATTCAGGCACAAGTGTATTAGTGAGGTTAGGTACTGATGATGGAAGTTCTGGATCACTGACATCGCTCCAGCTCATCACATGGTTGCATGGTGCTCTGATCATTTCAGAGAACACCGTTCCAATGCTCCAGAGTGGCCTGTTCTATTGACATTGCTTTTCTATGGAGATTATACAAAAAACTGAATGCTCTGTTAGCAAGTGGTGCACCTTAAAGCTGAATTCATAAATTAGGGGTCTGCATATTTTTGGACATATAATATTTTTAGTGTAGTGTGTGAGAGGTTGCAGAGTTGTGGCTCACAATAATACCAGAAGTAGTCTCTGCATTAAAATTACTATATGGCATAGTTATTGCGTATTAGAGTACTGATTTTATTTTTCATGTAGGTTTTGAAGAATGGAGTCAGTGCAGAGATGACTATTGCCATGCTAGTGTGTTATTACTAATGTAGTAAGTGCAGAAAAGGCTTTCATCATTGGAGATTAAAATCAGCAGGAATATAAAGGGATCTTCTTAGATCAGTACTTGCTCTACACATGACACAGGTGAGTATTCTACTGCTTACCTTTGGTATAGGGTTGGTTTTCTATAGAGGGGTTCAGCTTTCCTGATCTTTGCTCAGGTGCACAGGCCTTTGCAGAAATTGAGAGATTAGATTGGATGTGATTACATTACACCTCACCAGACCAGGTGCTGCAGTATATACAAGTGAGATGAGGCATGAACACTCACCTGTCCTTCTCCCATTCTTTTTCCATCTGCACCACGTTCGGCGTTCTTCACTGCTTCAGTATGTTCAGCAGCAGCAGGTCTGTCCTTAGAAAGCGTACACACAGGCATGCAGTGTGAAAATCATATCAGCAGTGTAAAATTCCAGAAGAGCATTCACAAATTATAACTCATTGTTCTTAGTTCAGCTGGCCGGTACTTCTTTCAGGCCCTTGCAGATTTATAGATCATCAAATCTGCCTGGCAGCAGTACAGTTGATTCTGTTAAGGGGTGATCCTTGGCGTATTTAGAAACTATGTTTTAGCTGTCTTTATTTCTCAGGGCTGATCAGTCACTGTGAAGTAATAAGACATCATCCTTTGAGCAGATGTTCTGCAGCAAGGTAGTTGGTTCTTCAGGTGCTTCTGGAGCTTGTCATTTAGACCCGTACCTCTTGGTTAGAGCTAGCTTCTTCCTTGTGATCTGGCTCAGCCTCCAGTTCACTGGAATTCCGTCTGTCTGTAGGAAGAGCAGAACAGACATTTTAAAATTCTTTTACAAACCTCAATTCCAAAAAAAAATTGAGACAATAAACAAAATGCAAATAAGAACACAAAGAAGTGATTTGTAAATCCACTTCAACCTGTATTTAAAAGAGAACAGATTTTTAGTGTTCTATCTTAACAGCTTCATTGTTTTTTATAAATATATGCACATTCTGAAATTTTCCAGTACGTTCCAAAAAAGTTGAGACAGAGGCAGTTCCAAAATGGGTACGAAAGAAATATCCAGAAAAGGCCTAAACCTCTATGAATAAGGATGGATTTGCTAAAGTATTAGCAAATAGCCAACAAATAGCTTAGTTTTTGTTATCAAATCCTTTGCATGTATTTTTCTTACTGAAAAGTAAGAAAATTCAGTTTTCAAAAGTTCTGATGAGCAATGCAATTTGTAGACATGGCTTCTTTTTAACGAAAGTGTACTCGTGGTTAGCGATGGTGCATTAAACAACATTAATGTACTAATCCTCTGCACTAAGTAGGAATTAGGTTACCAATAAGTCATAGAAAGGAAAGAATGCACAGAGCGCTCTGTGCCTGCAGTTTAGAGAAACATTGGTTTAAAAAAATGATACATGGAATGTGCATTTTTCCTAAACCAAATATCCCACTTCAAGTAAGCTGTATATTTCTTTTTTGTTAGGCCTAAACAGAAGGGCATTTTTTTTCTGTAGCAGCGCCATGATGTTTACATGATACAAACAGAGACCCGTTTTGTTCCTTCCAAACTGTCTCAAACGTGAAAACATAAACCTTGCTCTTCCATGACCCTAGTTGACCTGTGAGGTCACACTTTACTGAACCCAAAACACTGCACATTCTTGCAGCACTGCTGATGGATGCATACTCACTCAAGTGAGCCTTGTAGCTCCTGGGCTTTTGAGAAAACAAAATACACCACCAACACTGCATGGTCAAAAGTACGTGAACACCCAAACATCGTATCCATAGATGCTTGTTAAAAATCCCTTTCCAAAACCACAGACACATTAATGTAGAGCTGTTCTCTGCTTTGCTGAAATAACAGCCTCTAATCTTCTCAGAAGGCATTCTGCTAGACGTTGGAACTTGGCTGTGGGGATGCGCTTTCATTCAGCCACAAGAGCATTAGGCATTAGCGTTGGGCAATAAGGCCTGGCTTGCAGCTGGCTTTCCATTTCATTCCAAGGTGTCAGATGGGGTTTAGGTCAGGCCTGTATGCAAACCAGACAGGTTCTTAGTCATCAGGTTTGGCAAACCATTTCTTTATTGGCTTCTTTACGGGGGAATTGTCATGCTAAAACAGGAAAGGGCCTACCTCAACTATTGCCACGAAGTTGGAAGCACACAATTCTCTAGAATGTCATTGTAAGCCGTAGAGAGCTTAAAGGTTCAGCTCAAACCATGGAACACAGCCGCAGACCATTATTCCTCTTCCACTAATCTTTACAGTTGACACTATGTATTTTGGGCAGGTAAACTTGCTTTAGCGCTTGGCGGTTCTTTTCTGTGGCCTGCTAGATGTTCCCAATTCCCAATTACAGCTTCTACAGTTGACCAGAGAGGCTCTAGCGGAGCAGAAATTCGGCAAACTGACTCGGAAAAGTTGCATCCTATGACATTGAAAGTCCCTGAGCTCTTTAGTAAGATCAGTTCTACAGTCAGTGTCTGAGGAGATGGCATGGTTGTATGCTTCATTATGTCTATTAGCGGTGGATATTGCTAAAACTCACTAAGAGGTGTCCGCTTATTTTTGACCTTACGTCTTCATTGCTTTTGTACTAGTAGGAAAGAGACAAAATGCCATCAAGACATCTAAGCTGAAGATTACATTTCATAATCTGTAGGACTGTTGGTTTTAAAGTCAACGTGAATCTGTAAAAGTCTGTGGTGGTCTAGTATAGTGGTCTCTGGCAGGTAGGGGTGGTGATATGACATTATTGGTTTAATGTTATTTTTTCCCTGCCCACTGGAGCACAGTGACAAAGCCAAAAATCAGAAAACTTTTTAGAGGCAAAACTCATTATATTGAGTTTACAGAAGAAAAATATTTTTGTCATTTAAAACATATGACGGATTGTGCTTAGAAGTAACTAAAACAAGGTATTATTTTTCAGGTTTAACAATAATGAAATCAATGTATATTGTATACACAGCCTATACATCACTCCCCGAAGTAATACAGCTTCATTCCAATAGAGGGAGCTCTTAGATTAGTCCTTTCCACACTGAACACTAAACCATGTATACCATACTTACTATAGAACAGCAACCGTATAGACTGTCTTTAAGGTGTTTATTTCCACAAAAACTTTAATGTTCCCTTAAATCTGGCCTAAAGAGTGAAGTATTGACGTTGATATACTGCACAGTGAGCACCAGAATCAACTGCTTCTTCTTTTTTTATTTTTTTTTTTACTGTTTTTTCCTTCACTCTCACACACATACACACACTCTCACACACACACACACACACACACACACACACACACACACACTCACACACTCACATGCATGGACGCACTCTTTCAAATGTTCACATGTTTGTTTTATGTACTCTTTGCCCAGAGCCCTGAGACTCAGTGAGCATGCTCAGTGTTTGCCTATAGGATCTGTGGTATTTGCTTTACGCCTGTGGGTAGATCAGACTCAGCAGAGCACAGTGGACTGCAGCCTACAGCCCTCCACACACACACACACACACGCACACGCAGGGCCGTTTCCCTCTGCACCACCACACGAGCGAGGCAGCGTTTATTTTTCGACGAGTCTGTCTGTTTTAATGGGTTCCAGGACTGCTTTGAAGTCAGGGAGAAGGGGAAAAGGGTGTGTTAAGCAGATAGACTGAAAGAGAGAGAGTGAGGGGGAGCCCCTCTCTCTGGCTGTTCAGGCCCTGTTGAGTGCAGCATCGACCCCATCCTCGAGAGAGCTGGGCTGCACTTTGTTCCACATTTTTGGGGAAATGCGTTCACAGTGAGCGAAACCCCGGCTGTGATCGTCTCTCCGCGCTCCACTCACCCCTCCAGCCTCTCTGATCTCACACACACACACACGCGCACACCCTAAACTGAACCACCACTCAATCAGCCGCCCCTATTATTCATCCACCATGACTCAAATCCCACGTAATGGCAACAAAAATCGGCCGTTTTCTCTCTCAGTCTCCGTCCCCCTACTGTCTCGCTCTACTTCCACTCACTCACTTGCATACTAATACTGTCTGTCTCTCATTTATTTAATCCCCCTCTTTCTCTTCTCCTCTTTCTCTCTCTTGCTTTCTGTTTTTGTCTCACTCTCTCTTCTTATTCCCCCTTCTATCTTTGTCTCCTGTTTCTCTCTAACACTTTCTCTGTCTTTCTCTCCTCCTCTCTTACCTTTTCTTTCTCTCTTTCCTTCTTTATCTCACTCTTTTTACCCTTACTCTTTTTTTTAATGTCTCTTTTTCTCCCCTTTCTTACTGTCTTACTTTCTCTTTTCTCATTTTTGCCTCATCTCACTCTCATCTCTCTCTTTTGCCTTCTCTCTCTCTCTCTCTCTCTCTCTCTCTCTCTCTCTCTCTCTCTCTCTCTCTCTCTATGAAAGCCCCTCCACCCCTGCCAGACCCCTCTTTAAGCATTCAGTGGAAATGGAATGTAGGCCACTACATATCGCTTTAACCTGAAGTGGCACTTTTATTTCACACCTTTTCTCCCCAATCAGGCTCAAGCTGATGGTACAGATAGCTTGTGTAAATTCTGGTCCCTTTACTGTTCCCTCTCCAGAGTGACTTAAAAGCTCAAATAACTTAAGAACTGTAAAATGGGGGAAAAAATCAGAAGCATTCTTCAGGCTCTCCTTCATGTAGGCAACTATTTGTGGTCATATGCAGTTTTCTTTAGTGCCAAAGTTATTTGCTGTGTAAATGAAACACTTAAGTGTTTTATGTCAAGGGTTGAACCTGATCGTCTCATATTAGCACCCGTGTTCCTGCTCACCTGGTATTAGTGTGTTTTAATGTCATATTTTAAACGCAGGCTTTTGATCATGTCTGACTGCAATAGTATGTTCCCCTTAAATTGTACAGTCTCACTCTAAAATCGCTTTCCCAAAGCACCCATTAAAAGCTTTAGGGCCTGGTCCACTAGACATAATGCCCTGTAGTGGTTCTAGTTTCTGACCCAACTGTTAACAACTGTTTGATCAGCCTGTATAACTGTAGTTCTTGTTTGTTTTGACCTCAGATGAACATGCCACAGAATTCCCAGAATTCTTTCAAACTTCTTTTCTTGTCTAGGCTTACTTTATAAGCACATTCTTAAATATGAAGGCTACTGAATGGTTCATTGCTTGAACATTTGTTATGGAACCTTTGCATTATGTAGTGGTTCCTTTAACTTAAAATGCTTTTTCACTCATACCAAAAAGGTTTTTTAGGGAACCAAAAATGGTTCTTCTATGGCTTCACTCCAAAGGACCCATTTTGGTTCTGTTTGGCACCTTTATTTTTAAGAGTGTAACCCTGAGAGTCCTTACACCCCAGATCGCAATGTGTTGACTCTGCTACACTAACTATTTTCGGTTACAAACTTGTTAGCACGTTGTCAGTGTTGTGACAGCCAGGCATAAAACATCTCCTGCTAATTCCACGGGCACACGCATTGGCTTTAGAGTTCAGATTAACACCCAGAAGTGTCTACAGCAATGATCTTTTTGAATGCTTAAATTAGCAGCCATGTCTATCTGTTTGTGTCTGAACTTGCTGAAATGTGAAACTCAAATATGTTTGATTTAATTTACTTGGCTGCTTTTTCGTGGCAGGGAATTGCCTGGCATGTAGAAGCTTCTCCAGAGCATGGCTTATATTTTTGAGTTTTTTTTATTCTCTCCTATCAAAGTTCAAGTGAAAATAGTGCAGATTGCTGACACTGTATGAGGTTGTTATGCTGCTTCAGTCCAAAACATACCACACAAGATTATTAAGCAGCATTTCATCGTAGTATTCCACATAAGCTCTTGAGCTGGGCCACTTTACTCCAGCATATAGAGCCTATACTGGCCATTTGCGTAAAGAATTTTTATTTAGAAAGTGTCTGTTTCTGAGGAGGCCCAGCTTTGGGGAGGGAAAGGGGCGAAGTGGTGAAGGATAGAGCGTGGGTAGATAGAGGGGATAGGGGAAGGGAAGGGGGTTGGGTGGGTAAGAGAGTAGGTTGGTTGGGGGTTTGGGTTTCTGACCAGTGACAGGATAAAGGAAACAGAGCAGCTCCAGAGGTCGGCTTGAGAAAACACAGCCTCTGTCAGTCACACAGACTCCAGGGCTGGGATTAGGCCCTGGCCTGGGGGGGGATCGAGTTTCTCCGGCCGGGATACCTCACTCCTGCAAAACACTACCAGATGTGGAGCATACACACAGCCCCCTCCCCCTCTGTCTTGTATGTGTGTGTAATATGCTATTAATTTTACCTGTATGTGTTCATATGTGTGTGCTAGCACTTGGTATGGGGCAGTGGTGGTACTATGGAGTCTTTGAGGAAAACCATTCTGCTGATCATATCTTCAAATATAGTGGCATGGAATGAGGAATGAACCAGTGACTTAACGCCAGCACACTCAACTCAATAGTCTCCTTGAAAAATGCGGTTTGAAGCCAGTTCAATGACTCCATTTACCATTCCACCAACTTTGTGGTGTCCCTTACAAACACAGTCATGCTGTATTGTGAAATTAGCACTACTGATCGATGGTGATGTCTTACTTTGGCAGACACTAACCTGGATGTGTAGTCTGCTCTTCCAGCAAGATCGTCCAAGGCTGCTCCAAAACTCCCTCGGACGTCATAACCCTGAGAACTTTAGATAGACAAATGCACATTATGCAGGTTGTTTCCTCCCTTTCTTTCTTGACTGGCTCCACCGTTTTTGTCTTTTCTCATGCCTAGTTGACCTCTTCACCCTCTCCGCAACACTTTGCTTGACCCAAACTTTCCACTAAAAGACTGTTACCAGCCCTTGTGCTACATCTGTAGAAACCAACTTTAAAACAAACCACATTATAATATTTCAGTTTTCTTTCTCTATTATTTCAGAACAGCAGCGCTATTCATGTGGTCTATGGACAAAAAAGTAAAAAGTCAGGTAGAGAGTTGATTACCATGTTCTCTAGTGGCATCATCCAGAACTGTGTGGTCCTCAGTGTCCGTGAAGTCATCCCAGAAAGACAAGCGTATGATTTCCCCAGCAGGACCCATTATTAAGGTGCCCAGTGCTCTGCCCTTTTCACACTCTGAAAAACACACAATAGAGTGGAGCAGAAGACGAATCGGGAATTATGAAATCAAGGAAAAGATTACATGACTTTCCGAATCCCTCAGTGTTACTTCTGCTGTGTGTTGTGGAATCAGTCGCTATGTGTTTAATCACTTAACTGGATTTGGACTCTGTGACTATGTTCTAGTGTTCTAAAGAAGCATGCTTTCCTTGGCTGCTTGCCTTCATGGGTAACATCATATCTTTTGATTGAATGGAGAGGCAAGGACTGAGTCAAATTACAACTCATCTAACCCTTAACGCAGGTAGTATTCACAAAGGATTTGAAAGGAAAAGTAAAGAACCAGTTTCTTTGGATAACTGCTGGATATCTTTCAGCTGGTTAGGTAACTCTTTACAAGGTTTTGAAAAATCACTTGTGTGTTACCTCTCAGCACCAAAGGAAGGCTGCCTCGGGTGATGCCAGGCTGAGACTCGGACTGGTCTGTGGGGTCGAGGGGGTCTTGTCTGTAGAGTGCCATAGAGCTCTGTTTGCCAGGACCCCTGCGACCTACGAGGGGAGGCAGTAGGCCCGGGGCAGTCTGATACTCTGAAATGGAAATAAACAGAAGTCACAGTGTTCACTAACAATAGCAAAAGCATGTTGCAATTTCATATTAACCCTTGAATGCCAACTCAAAGTGTTTTATCTACTCTTATTCATTAATTACACAATTTCTGAATGCTGTTGTGTTTATTTGATATGCTAAGAATGTGTTCTTACAAAGCCGATTGAAGCTGATGAGGATTTTTATTTGGTTTGTGTCACAAACTAACATTTTGACCAGAACGTACATCATTAGGAATTTCAGTCACAAATCAGTCGTCACTCTGATTATACAAATCAATAATAAACTCTTGTCAAATTCTGTTCTGTATGACTTCATGTACTTCCTTGGAAAAAATGTCCAACAAGGAAGGAAGCCCAGTGCATATGTTTAATAATCATAGAAAACTAAAACAAGCAGAGGAATTTCAATCAAAAGTATGTAAAAGTAAATGGAATTAATGATTTAACCATGTCATTATGTACATTTGAACAGTTATTTAATGTAAATCACACATAGGTATACAACAGTAACTACAGGGTGCTTTTTGGTATATAGGGGTTAAGTTCCAAAAATTCACCCTGTTACTAAGACTACATTTTCTCTTTCCTGAAGTCTTGAGTTCCATAATGATTCCAGAACTATTTCTCAGCAGAATTAAGCAGTGTGAATCTCACTGGTAGTGGAAATCCCACCTCTGCAGAAATTCAATATGCTAGAGGATTTGTTTTGGAAAAGTCTTACTCGCTACACAAAATGAGACAACTGATTACTGTTTGGTTTGCTGATGTGGCAGGCCTTGAAACCATCTATCTTCACCCCTTTCTGTCTTCTGCTTTTTGAGGGTATGAGAGCAAAATGACACTGATTTTCTGTAAACTTGTCTGTTTTTCTTTCCTCCTTTGGTCTCCCTGCCAGTCTAGTTTTCACTGCACTTGTAGAGAGTGTTTTGGCCTTGGTGGTCTGGCCCCAGAACCTTGCAGGGGACGTGCAAACTTCAGCTAGTGCGCTGTTATTTATCATATCACCCCCAGAGATCTCCTCAGCACCCTGCTGTCAACTAGCCCTGCTGCTCCCCCGTCGCTCGCCCCGCCGCCCACCCTGTTCTAAAGGCTCTATTTAGCTGCAGCCAGGCCCAGGTTGATCCGTACATGGAGAGGCTGTGATCACTCCTCAGAGGGAGGCTGTGCTTTTCCTTCATTGCTGCTGTTGTGATAGTGTAGCTACAGTGAAGGAACCACTTCAGACCTGTAAGGCTTAGCCTGTTTTGATTCCATGTGGGGACACTTGAATGTGAACAAATAAGAGTGGAGAAGTTGTCATCACATCTGGATGAAAAATGACCAGACACAGGACTCGATATTAAGTAGCCTGTGAAAAACGAGCATGATGTATTTGCCTGTACGTTGTTGCTTTGCTTTCTGCATTCCTTCTCAGAAATGAAGCTAAGTTGAGCATAACCAGCCAGTAAAATCATAGATTTATCTTTTCTCAAGAGGTTTCCACCGCGGTCATGATTTTATAAGCCACTGAGTCGACTGAATGCACCTCAAAAGGCCCTATTGTGTTATATGAAATTCTGGATTGGAACTGTATTAATCTATCCTAATATCTGCAGAACAAGTCCAGATCTCTCTCTGGCAGCATTCTCACGTTTACGTTTTGGTTGATCAGTTTGCAGTTGTCAGCATGTTACCTACAAACAAGATGTGCCATGAGAAAGTGAGATTTACACTTTCAATCATGAATTAGGAGTGTATATTTATTTTGTCTGAGTACACATATCGTCATTGTCCAAAGAAAAACATGCATCTCCAAAATGATAACTTTACAGGCGAGGGCAAAAACACCCTTAACTTTTAATGTAAGTTAATGTAAAGCGATTTTACTCTAATTGATTTTGGGGCATTTCTATTGGTCAAAATAAAGTAAAGTAAAGGAACAGTGCCGTGTTCAAATGACGTAGAGAAATAAAAATCGACAAAAAAGGAGAAACGTTTTTTTATTTGGACAGTAACGAGATATATATATATATATATATATATATATATATATATATATATATATATATATATATATATATATATATATATATATATATATAATATATATATATAGTTACTGTCCAAAGAAAGAGATGTGAAGACAACTCCTCCACTCCTTTTATTTATATATATATATATATATGTGTATAAGAGAGAGAGAGAGAATAATACAGCTCCAAACTTCAATCCAGAATATGATATAACACAATAGGACTTCTTGAGGTGCATTTAGTTGACTCAGTGGCTTATAAAATCACGACTGCAGTGATAATTATATTTAATAACATAATAGAAAATAATAGTTGTTAAGATTACAAAAAACAATGGCCCTAAGCCAACCATGTTCTTTACTGCTATAAATTGGCCGGCCTTCATATTTTATAATTCTCAAATGTGTCTGTGCTGAACGTCTTGTAAAGCCTGTTTATTTAAAAAAAAACATTTTTCAAATGTTCTCCTCTGTGTGTTTCTAACTTTTCCTTTGTGCTCTTGAACTCAAGCAGTCTGAGCTGAACGCTTGACGGACATAACAGTAATGAAAGACCTGTTAGAATTTTGCATTTGTTGGGTTTGTGTCCCATATCTGTGTGTGATTGATTATTGGAGTTCTCTGCCATTCACACTATTCTAGAATGTTCTCCTTCATTTACACTTTTCCCCCTGGTTCCTTTGGCTCGTCAGTTCTTGTACTGGAACAGGCCAAAGCCGACTGGCCACATTATAATGTTGTTTTTTTGTTAGGGAGCGTTGGGTCAGTGTGCCGTGGCTTTTACTTGGGCTTGTGTCAATCGACCCTGCAGTGTCATAATATAGTGAATATAGACCCATGAATGGTTAGAAAATCTATCATCCTGATGAATCTCATTACCTTTGTCCTCCTCAGGTTCAAACCAAATGAGTTGGTATTGCTCTGTGGCTTTAAGCTGGCAGCCATGTTCACCAGGCTCATTCTCTCCTCCTCTCACGATTACTCCTCCCTTCTGCTCCACACCTCCACACAGGACATTCTCCCTCGTTTCCTTCTTCTCAGGAAGACCATCCTCTCTCTCATCCTCATCCTCAGAAAGGCCTTGAAGACCATCTGAAACAAAGGCAGGAGACAAGATCCTTAAGGCAAGCTTTTACTATAAGGAAAGTGGGTGATAACATGATACAGAGACGTGTGTGAAAGGCAGGAGAAGATGAAGAAATGAAGTGATTATAATGTATTTTATTTTAACTCACACATTACTTTTTAATTAGCTCATGTGTTGAGTCAGGTGTGTGCCAACAGAGACAGCCAAAAGTGCTGTTCAGGAGGGCCAAAGGGCTGGGTTTCTAAGGTAGTAATGGTTACTACAGTGTAGTGTACCCTATGGCTTCTGAGTCTCACCTTTCTCCTTTTGTGAAGGGAGCAGCACGAGCACTTTCCTAAGTATGGTTCTTTCTGGCAGTTTGGGACCAGGCATCTCTGTGTTGGTGTTAGTGAGATGTATATCTGGCAGCCGTGGAACTGAATCCTTGTGGTTTTCTCTAGTGTTACTCCTGGCTTTGACCTTAAAAACATCTTACGGTCATGTAAGTCATGTTCACTTTAACAACTAGAAAGTACATTGCTCAGTGACCACTTAGATGGGTATACTACACTAATGACGACGCACTATACAAAGAATGCTGTTTCACCAACCGGCAGCTATGGAGAAAAGAAATACTAGTCTCACACTTTTTGTCTTGTGAGTGTTCACTTACTCTTTGGTCCTTGCTGTCTGAGTCTGAAGGAGAAGCTTGGTTAATGAGAGGTAGATGGAAGAAGTCGAGGCCTGGATTTGGAGGCACATTGGTTTTCTTCGCATGTATGTCTATGGCATTCTGTTTCACTAAAGTAGGAGCAGAACACATCAAGTTATAGGTGGCAATTACTGGAAACTTCAGTAGACACTTTCCTTGTTAGTACACCTTGTAGGTGTACAGTTAGACTATGGCTCATCTTTTTCCATGCACAATTTGTGGTAGTCATTCTCTAGGCCTTCATCAGTGGTCAGTTTCTGACCACAAGAGCACTGATTGCTGAATAGTTTTGGTTGGAGGACTGTTCTCAGCCCAGCAGTGGCATTGAGGTGTGTAAAGACCTCAGCAATGCTGCTGCACCTGATACGCTCATACAACCGCAAAACACACCACCGTGCCAGTATCATTTCAGAGTCACTGTGGTACTGAGAATGACGTGGTGGTCCCATTCTGTGGGGTAGAGGGAGGCTAATAAATTGGCCATCAACCAATGAGCTAAAGTCAGCAACTGTAAACCTAAAAAGTGCACGGATATGGTAGGTGCACCTGATAAAATGGCCCTTGAGTTTTGGTATAAGATATAATTTTTAGTATGTACCTAATAAACTGACAAATCAGAATATATATTGGCTAAATGGCATCATGGTTGGATAATCTGTATGAAATGTGGGCATTTTCTGTAAATCTTAAGAATTCTTTTTCCATTCTTTGTATTTCAGCTGGGAAGCCCTTCATCACATTGCAAGTGATTGTATTGAGTTTGCTGAAGGGGAATTTTAGATTGTGCCTATTGTTGTCTATTTTGTAGGGTAGATAGAACTTACCTGGGCCTTGCTGGCAGGCCCCCTCTGTGTGTCTTCTGTAGTTGTTGACTCTTGAAAGGTGACTGCATCCCAAAGAGGAGTCCATATAAGCTGGTCTTAGAGAGTGGCCACTTTCTGCACCACCTGTCTCTATTGTACTTTGTTTCCATTGACCACTTATGTCCTTTGGGTAGCCAGTCAAATGCTCTGTAACCTGGTGAGTGTGTGTCAAAGTAAGAGAGATAAAAGCTATTGAGGAAAAGGTTAGGTTCTTTGAAGTCATGGTCAAATTGTGTACAAAGAAAAAAATTGACAGTGGTCAATGACACTGATACTGTTTGAAAAGTTTCAGGTGATCAACCTCAAATAAATGCTATACATGCTGTTTCTATTTTATTAGGTCCACGTTCAAAGGCCAAATGCCACCTTTAATAATAGTGTGATACAGGGAGATGCAAAATGAGTAGAAACTAATGCTGTTAATGGTCAGATGATTCGTTATAAATGGACCTTTCCAAACATCTCAACTGATGACGGTGAAAGAATGGAAAATCTTTGAGGAGCAATTACATAGGAATTACATGAAGAAGAAAAAACAAGCAGGGATCTGAGGTCACATTTACAGCATGCCAGATAGAAGCAAATCACAAAAGACAAATGTTAAGGTAGAAAAAAAAAATGCCGACACTGATAGTTCCATTTCAGTTGGACCGCTTCTGCTGGATGCATTCAAACCCAATTTATTCTAATCTGCATTGTCACCTTGTATATTAAATTAGTCTAAATAAGATTAAATTAAATGGAATGAGCACAGTACTGGCTAAAGATGCAGTGTGACAACACTGACCGTCTGATCTTCAGGCCATCCTGTAAGTTTTTCCTTAGCACTGATTTCTGCTTCAGGGATTGGGCTCATCCGAACTCTCGACGTTCCCATGGCAGTCCTGAAACTTGTCTTTGCATCTTTGTTAACTGCCAAGTCCTCTGGACCTTTTGTCTTAGGGGTCACAGGATCACCTGTAAACAGACCTTACATGTAAATTCAGTGGTACAGTGGTATGTTGTCTCACTGATAGTCAATAATAGGCAGTGGTGAAACTATTTGCAGTGTTAAAATTTTGAAAAATCAGGAATAAAATTGGGTTAATTTGCAGACATTCTACTTTGGTCAGCACTTTATGGTTCTAGAAAATTCTCTGTTTCCTTAGGTGTACTCCTGCTGCTAAAAGGGCACAGAATAAGCAATAATCTGGTTGCAGTGCTTTCCCCCTAGCCATGAATAGAAGGCATTCATAGGCGAATGTTTGGTACACATATTTAAAAGATGTAATTATCTCCCATTTGAATGGAAGCTACTGTAATAAGATGATGGCCCAAACCAAATAATTCCTGACGAACGGCATGCTCTTTGTATTTGGCCGTGTTGCAGTGTGCTGTGGTGAATGTCATTTATCTAAACAAAGAGTGACTGTGAAAGCAGTCAACCTTTATCTGATGCTAAGCAGTACTTGTGTACTGAGGTTGCTAAGCATAATCATACCTGGTGCCAGATGAGGCCTGTCCTCACTGTGCACGGGTGCCAGACTCTGGGCTAAGAGTGGCAGAGAACCTGGCGGAGGCCTATGGGGCCGCGGCAAGCAGAGGAAACGGGGCTGGTATCTCACCTGCCCTGAACTGGGGTACACAGAGTTACCCTGACCTGTGGAGGAACCATGGTGTTCCCCGCCTGCAAAAAAAGTAAAAATTTTAATCACTGAAGCCTTGAAACATGAGCCGTTGCTGTAGAAATATTATTGGCTTTCATTCATTGTGTAATGGGACTGTTGCAAATTGTCCCTGTTGTAATAAAATTTTGTATTTCTTACATGGTAACACTATGCGAGCAGAACAAATAGTTCCACAGTACTATGCCAGTGACTTGAGTCAGAGAACCACCCTTCATTTATTAAATGTACAGTCAAAATGGCCATTAAGTACAAGATATTCAATTTTCAGGAGATGTTTCTGAGGAGATTAGATATGAGATACTTCACTTGCATAAGGAAGTGGAAAGTTAGAAAAAAACATTGCAAAAAATATTAAAAGATGAGTCTGAGGGGGAAAATTGGTCTTCTAACAAATGTGTAAGACCTGGTAGAGAGAGGGGAGAAAATCAAGCTCCACTCTTGCAACTCTGGGTCTGAAAGGATGTGTAGCTGTCAAAAAGCCCATACTGAGAAAAAGAAATAGACAAAAAAAATTTGTAAAGCAAACAAAGAAGCTGCTTTTGTTCTCAGAACAACTGGCTGACTACCCAAGAGTCCAGACCTCAACACCACTGAATGTGTTTGGGATAACTTTGATCGTGAGAAGCAGAAAATTCAACCATGGACTAAGACTTTGGAAGTGTGGAAAAATATCCCTGCAGCTTTTTGAAAAATGAAAAACTTGGCCATTTTGACAGGAAATAAGTTTGGCAGGACAATGTCAGAACCCTTTTGGGTCCTTTATAGCACTTTTTTTAACGGTTCTTTAAAGAACCATATACAAAGGCATCATGGAGAATAACCATTTAACCATGCATAGAATAATGTCAGCATTCAAATGGTTGTTGAAGTTGTTTGTGGTTCTATTTATAACCATTACCTGGTTAAAATACCCCTGAAGAAGCCCCTTCTTTAAGAGTCTACACTACATGTCCAAAAGTATTTGGCCACCCTTGGCCACCCATCACTGGCAGTGGTGTTCAACTGCACACAGCTTGTATAATCGCTTTAGAAAAGTGTTGCCAATAGAATGGGATGCTCTGGAACAGCAACACATGAGTCTGAGATCACCATGCCCAGTGCCAAGCGTCGGCTAGCTTTGGGGAAATTCTCTGGAGTGATACAGCACCATTAAAAATCTTTGGGATGAGTTGGAGTTTTCAAACTATCTATTAATACCCTTTCAGAAAAAAATGTTGTGTGAGCAAGGGTGTACAATCTTTTGGACATATAATGTATCTTAATGTAATTGAAGAAAAACATGAAATTAATTAAACATTAATGCTCACACTTAGTGTTCCACAAACAGATAACTGGGTCTGTACACATTTGTTTAGGGTGGACAGACCTTCACCTGCAGACTGGGTCACATAGTGCTCCTCCTCTGCAGGCCAGTGGTATGGATATAAGCGCTGAGTGGTACGTTTAGAAGCTGACAGCAGGGGCTGGGTAACACTGGTATGACATGTCACTTTGGCCTGAGACCAGAGAAAGTAAAAAGCAGACTTTTACACATCTAATATTTCACTGTCTTCTCAAGTCCCTCTACTGCAAACAGTTTTCTTAAAGCATCTCACTTCTTTTGAAGCTGTGACACTTGAATACTATATTCTATTATTTACAGTTTACTCTTCCTTTGTACATGTGATCTGTTTTCCCTCCAGATTCTCTCCTGTTTTTGTTAAAACATCTGTAGAGAAAATGCAGCAAGCGCAGCCCACAGCAGTGATGTGTACCGGAGTTCATGTGGCAATACTGAACTTTCAAAAGAATAAGTGCTAAAATGTTTTGATCCCCCGAGTCGAACATTTAACAACATTAAAGTGAGACCAGGTGTCAGCATGTTAAATAGTTCAGCATGCAGAGGAATCAACGTTTTGAAAGCTTTTACCATAGGAAATCCACAGAGGGAGAGAAAGATAGAGAAAGAGAGAGGGGGAACAGTGGTGCGGGGGGGTTGTATTTTGGCATTGACCTACATAGGCAGTCTTCTGTTTATATAACGTTTGTGTTTAGTTTTGTTTTACTTGCACACAGAATTTGTCCTAGATTATCTTTGACGATGTAGTGATTATTTGGTCTTTGTCTGTGTATCATCAGCTGTCTGTGAAAGTATGCATACGATTTACATGAATTCAGATGTGCAGCGATAAGGATTGCGGCTGCGGTCATTTGGAGGTTGTGGCTGGCCAGGGCACACCTGTGCTGTTTACATTCAGCTGTAGTGGGAACGTGACGGATGGGGCGCTCTGCACACAGGCCACCCACACTGAGCGCCCGTCTCCATGCTGGGGCGCGTCCCAGTCCCTAAACACACTGATTACCACATTCAGCTCTCATCACCTGCATCCTTCCCTGATTTGGCCTGAGACTGCATCTGCTCAGGTCGTACACTACAGCTGCTATTGCTGCTTCCAGCAATTGCCCTGAGGTACTAGTCTGAGTGCAGCTTTCTCCAGTAATCCCTTAAATCCCTTATTATTCAGTTATTAATCTTAAGACATTATTCAGTAACTGCTATGAATATGTTGGCCACTGCTCTGAAACTAATATGTAAATTTAAAAGTAATATGGAAGAATCTAAGCTCAAGAAAATTTTTGAAATCTTTGAATTTGCGGTAGCTTAGGCGTCGATTTCCAAGCCGACAACAAAGCACAAAGTCACAGTCACTTTGGATAAGAGTGTGTGCTACATACTATAAATGTAAGTGTACATCTATTTGTCATTTTCGTGACCAGGAGAACCAAAACGCCTTGTATATGCTGTACAGTCTGATGCGACAACAGCCGACAGAAAACCAAACACTTAAAATTTTACTATATTTCGATATGACATTTAAATGACTTCAGTGTTTGGCAACTAATATCAGTGCTGTTAATGTTAAAGCTGTCAAAACAAATCATACTGATCAGCACAATCGCACACATCTCTGCAGCGAGTCCACAAAGTTCATTGGCTAACCTACTTGACATTCGCAAACTAAATTAATGCATTCTGTCTTCTGTTCACACAAGCACATACAATTTTTGTTTTTTTGTCTCACTTGCCCATCCAGCAATTAAACAGCAGGCATGAGTAGCCACACTTTTATTTGAAGCAGTGGTGTTCCTGAAAGGGAAAACTAAGTCTGGTCTCCTGTGTGTGGGAGGGTGTTATTGACTGGTGGGTTGTTGTTTTTTTTTTGAACATATCACTGCTTTTCAGGACTGAAATTTGGTGTATTTTAATTATCCACTGTTGCTGTCCCATTGAGAGGAGATGGTCATTAATATGGCCGCTTTAAGAGGAAAGATCATGTCACTGCAAGGTTTTAAGGATTAAGCTTCATAACACATTTTCCTTTCAATAAGACATGCTGTATCAGGGTGGGTCTCTGAGCTACAGGTTTAGTGGGCAACACCACTAACGTACATACTGCCCAGGCAAG